CCAACCACATTAGTCAACGTACACCATTTAACCCTACCTAGGACCGGGTCTTTTTTTTGACAGTGGGGGGACCGGGGGGGGGGCTCTTTTGACACCCCCCCTAAGAACTCGCGAACGGTATGTCGTATGACCACCAAATTTTCAGAGAATGGTGTACTAGTAAAAATTTATCATATCTACAATTTTAATGTCGTTATGACGTAATATAACGTCATTATGACGTCATTAATGTGATTTTATTGGCCAAAACCGTCTAAATAGGTTTTTCCCTGAAAACCTCCCTGGTATACAACATAACTTTACCAAAAGTGTTTATGACAGAATATTAGTGTGTACTAAGTCTTATGTTGCCCATAGCAACACCGGTGACGTCATAAAATGACGTCATGCATATTTAAGATATCCGCCATCTTGGATCATCAATCTTGAATTTTTAAAAATAGTTTTTTTTCATGATAAAGCCTAAAATACATTGTAAACATACTAAACACCTTCATTCAAAACTTTTTTGTAAAAAGAAATGGAAGTATTGATGAAATTTTGATTAAAATAACCCGTATATACCTGTTCAAATGATATGGTCCGCCATCTTGGATTTTGGCCAGTGACGTCATCAAATTAGCATAAATTATGCATATTTAATGATAAAATTTACATAAAATTATATGGGATGTTATTAATATTAGAAACCATGAGTAACTTGAAATAAAACCCATAAAATTCTATTGTTGAAACAAAAAGTACTAAATTTAGCAAAAAATGCCTGTCAGAAACCCGTTGCCATGGCAACACAAAAAATTATTATCTTATTCCAATGATAGAGAATTGTTGCCAACAATATTTTAGGAAAAGTCACCAAGTTTGGTTGTTCTACGGCTAGCCGTTCAGACGCTAGGTGACATCAAAGTTGCCGCGGGCACTTTTAGCCCCCCCCCGGTCTAGGTAGGGTTAATTCAAGTACCAGAGTTATCAACCAAGGATTGAGGTGTTCAAAAACAAATTCTTTCCTAGAACTATAGCAGAGTGGAAGTACAGTAAGGGTATTGTCACTGGATAGCTTTAGACAATATGTGGATTTGGCTGTTCAAGGGCTAGGTGTAACAAGTCGTTCAGTGTAATGTAGCAAGCTGCTGCTGCGCCACGTGCCTGCGAAGCTGATGTGTAACGCCAGAGGGGGGTTATACTGGCTATATGGAACAGATAGTCAATTAGACCCTTTTTGGTGTACCAAGATTTCCTTTTTCACACAACCAGTTACAGTGAAAACTAGAGTTCCCCGAT